GATATTGTTAGTGGAAGGTGTCACTGCGGCGCGTTAAGGAAACCCATTCTGGCTTTAGCTAGCTCAGGTAACAGCCAGCGCAGGCCCACGGCAGAGGCTGAGCCTGCCAAGGACCGGAGTTAGATACTTGGGTTACCAGTCTGCCTTGAAGTGCGTACTGCCACGTTATCGCTGATGTTGTTATTTGAGCTAGTGAGATTAAACCCCTGGCTGTTAGTGTGGCCACACTTCCTAAATTCAGTATTAACATCCACGAGTGGGACAAATACGCCAGTCCAGATGCTCCGAGGAGCAAACGAGTGTTGTTTCAACCTTAAGGAATCCTTCAGATGCAGGTGTAAGTAAGAAAAAATGGGGTTTGGTTGGAATAAAGACACTCCTAATCTTTTCCCTAAAACTTGCCATTCAGCAGGGCTCACGTCGTTGGACTATATCCTGTTCTCCTAAGGTAGAACTGCTGAGTGCCCTCAAATTCCACTGATTCGGGAGAAGAAGGGGAGTAACAAACAGCAGCAGACAGTGAGGACTGCACTGGGGTGGACTCTGCGGGCAGAGTGTACAAATATGAACTCCTGTAGCTCTGTTGTTTAACTGGATCTTTTTCATACCACTGGGGAACCCAGCAGCAGTCAACAACCTCCACGCTGATCTTTTATTCTCCTGTTCCAAGCTCTTTTCAGTGGTGCCCAGTGACAGGACAAGGGGCAATGGGCACAAACTGAGGCACAGGAAGTTCCGTCTGAACATGAGGAAGAACTTCTTCCCTTGGAGGGTGACGGAGCCCTGGCCCAGGCTGCCCAGGGAGGCTGTGGAGTCTCCTTCTCTGGAGATATTCCAGACCCGCCTGGACGCGGTGCTGTGCAGCCTGCTCTGGGTGACCCTGCTTCATCAGGGGTTTGGACTAGATGACCCACAGAGGTCCCTTCCAGCCCCTACTATTCTGTGATTCTATGATTCTGTGTAGCAAAGCTACGAATTTAGGATTAGTCTGGACGTTCGAAGCCGGCGCGTCTTCGCTGTAACCCCCGGCAGCCCACGCGGGGAATGACGCCGTGATGCGCAGAGCTCCCCTCCAGCGCCGTGAGGCTGATGGCTGCTGCGAGCAGCGGCTCTGAGCTCTCACCGAGCGCTCTTTAATCCACTTATTGCCGTCTTCTTCCACCGTAACCGCGTCTGTATAAAAATTGACCGACGTTTTCCTGTCACACCGCACGGAGTGAGTTTTTAGGCTGTTCGCAAGGTGCGTGGCTGTCCTGGGCCGCTTACCGCCGTGCCAGCTTCTCAGCTTCTTCCTGCTGGGCAACTCTCTTCTCTCCGAGGCCGTCTCCATTTTTGCAGTGCCGCCAAGCGGCTGCCCTCCTCAGTAGCGGTTTTTTTTTTTCACTTTTAATTTTGCTGATTTATTATTTATAAACAACCGCAGAACAAACCGCCCTGCGGATGAGAACCGCGTCGCACACAATCCGCCCCAGCACACCGCGGGGCCGGCACGATGCGAATCTAAAAGAACACAAGGGCGGCG